CTCTGGTCGTCCATACTTGGTCGATTTATCACAGCGGCTGGTCTTCTTCTAGACTTAGACATTTTAGCATAGAAGCGTCTTCAGATGATCCATCTTTAGCCCAGATTGCTTAATAAAACTTTTTAAGTTAATTATTAGCATCAAATTGATGCTAACAATCTACCCCCAAAGTTTTATAAAGCAAGCATCTTCAAGAAGTCTTCATGTCTTCTCCCCTCTGCTATCTTCAAAAAGCTTTAGTGTTTTTAGCATGAGTGGAATATTCAAGCTCCCCCCAGAATGTAGCTCTATGTTCTTCATTTTCAACTCTTAGATCAAATTAGTTTCAATGTGAATGCAACACTACTAAATGCACAAGATGCATCTTTAATCTGCCCACAATCCAGCACATTCTTTGAAGCACAGAATAGCCACTCACCCCAAAAGTAGCTAATTCATCCAAAACAGGATAGATAAATGTGTGGATTACTTGACAAAACAGTGCAAACAGTCTAATGACAAAGAAACTTTCAATGAACCGCAAATTGAGTAGGAATTCAGCTTTAGAGCTAGATTCAATTAGAGATAACTTGAATAACCGAAGCAAACACCATTGAAATTAAGAACCAGAGAGAAGAATTGACAATTAAGCTTTATAACTTCAAGAAACAGCAGGTCAATTTTTAAAAAAAAATTGACAGAGACGCTGTTAATGCTTCTAAGGGCAAAGCATGAAGGAAATTGCCATTAAACATGAAGGAATAGAGATAATAGGCAAGAAAAACAGTAAGCTATTATAGATTTAAATCCACAAAGAGAGAAGATGAAATAATACTCAATAAATTGGTGATAAATATATGTTTGGCAAATAAACCACCAATTGCCTTAGGCTGAGTACCATAAACTCTTGCTAAACGCCTATGCGTAGATTTGACAAGAACAGGGTTCAATAAATCGATTGACTTCAAGAAACTCTATAGACATTTAAGCATATGAAGAAGAAATTAGGGTTTCTTGAGACCAAACTGCAGTCGAACAAACCAGAGGTTCTGGTCCTCCAGAGGCTCTGGTGTCTCTCACAGAGGCTCTGACACTTGTGTCTTCACAGAGGCTCTGGTTCTTCTTACAGAGGCTCTGGTCGTTTATACTTGGTCGATTTATCACAGCGGTTGGTCTTCTTCCAGACTTAGACATTTTAGCATAGAAGCGTCTTCAGATGATCCATCTTTAGCCCAGATTGCTTAATAAAACTTTTTAAGTTAATT